TTCTAAGATTTTTTTAATGCCAATGGACTGCAATTTAATACCAAGCCTACTAAGTATGGAAGTATGATGGAATACCAGTGGACAATATGTCTCAGAGTTGCTATTACATTTTATTTCAGTTTAAGTCTTAGTAGTATAATAATATACAATAATTAATGAAATGAATGCAATATGTTATGCTTTTTAACAGCCTTCTCTTTCCAATATGCTTAAGAAAAAAGCGAACCAAGAATTCAAAAGGGAACCAAAAGGGGCTATGGCTGTCTAAACAATTTAATGTTAGACAAGCAAAAGATATGCAATGTATATTTTAAAATGAGGCTTGAAAATTCACCTGTGTTGCATGGCTTTAACATATACAAATCTGTGTTTTATTGTTCAATCCTTGTACTTGTGCCACCTGCAGCCATTAATGTTACTGATGCATTTTTACAGGTGTGTTTTTGTGTGATTCTGAGGTGTTTCCATTTAATATTTGTATTACCGATCGAACAAAATTAATAAAAAAATGTAACGTTATACCTAATGGCCTATTCTGTATACTGAATACTCAAAAATGAATTACCATTAAGCTTGTAAGTGTAAAACATTACACTTCATCTTTTAAAACTACAATTACTGCCTCATGGTTGTATACCTCTGTCATCAGTCAAATTCTAGGAAGTATGCGTCATATCTCCCCTTCTGTTCCCGAGTTACAGTGTCAATAATGGCCAGAAGTGTTTTTGAAGAACATTATGATGTCACATTGAAAGTTGACCTTTGACACCAAATATATATCAGTTCATCCTTGAGTTCAAGGGAATATTTTTGTCAGATGTAATGAAGTTCCCTCTGGGCCGTTTCCTGATATATCGTGTTCACAAGACCTACCACATGTATGTAATTCTCTATCTGAAAAAGAGTTAACCTGCACTCTTAATGTGGGGGTTGGAACAGATGGGTTAGATGTTTTCAGACGTGTTAACCACAGCTAAAAGCAGCTCTGCAACGTCCCGAACTGTAGAGCTGATTTGTGAAGGCTGTATTATCTGAATTGATGATATTACTAACAGTCAGGTGCAAATGAAGCAGCTGTAAATATTGGACAAAAGAAAAAAATACTGCAGGTCTGCATTTGGCAGCAGAGGTGAGCGTTTAGAAATGGAGTACGAAATAAAATAAGGGACCCTTTTATGAAATTCGGTTGTCACTTCTTGATATATGGTTTTCATTCAGCACATATGTGCACGTCAAAACTGAAGCTGTTGTTAATGTCCTGGTCTCTATGACACAGACAGGACTAGAACAGCAGGTTTTAGCTGCTTCACTCAAATAACAAGGTGCATATTCTTGTGTTATTGTTAGTGTATTTTTACTGTAAAGACAATAGCGAGCAATGGCCTGTATGCTAATGTATAATCAAAATCAGTTTTGATTGGATGGGATATGGAAAATCCAAATTAAAAGCTGGTATGAGTTCCAAGCATGCACTCTAAAGATAGATATAAAAGAAAGCTCAGTTGCACCCAGTTACATACATACATACATATATACAAAGAGCTGGTGATAAGGGTTTTAAAAGGTGACATGAAATGTATTCATTGTCTATATTTTTTTTCTCAAAAACCCACACTTTATCATATGGTAAAAATTAATGAAAGAAATTCAGAGATGACTCCTTTTGTAAAACAGATGAGAGAATTAAATGAAAAGAGTCTTTACGTTATTAGTGGTAGTGTAAAAATAAGGTGGGTTAGAACTGATGTTTAAATATTTAAATTGATGTAAAATTGTTCTTGTTCTCATGAATTCATACCAGAGGTGAGGTTTAGGATGTGGTGAACACAAGTCAGAAGCTGTGACCACTGATGAGATACACAATGTATATATCTTAAAATTTTGGCATCAGTTCTCACGTTCAATAAAAAGAGGAAAGTATTTATGTGACTATCCTCTCATGGTCCCCACCACAACGATCTTTCACAAATGACTCTAACTCCTGGACGTGATAGGTCTCAGGAGCCTCAAGACTTTGCTGCTTTCAGCTGGGATCATATGTAAGAAGATATGTTCATAATGTCATTTTCAATTAATTTGATATTATACATTATCAATGCACGTTTTTATTATAATTGTTACCTAATGATAATTTACTTCAGGTCAAATCACTACAACTGCTGGGCAAAGGATTACAGGTAGGTAATGAAATATATGCATTTACTATATCTATTATGTGTTTTCACAGTCATTACATCATTTTTATCCTATAAAAACATGTTATTTTGTTGAATTGTTTTCTAATCTCTTGAAACTGTATTTTATTTTAGCTTCCTCACCTCTAGAGTGTAAGTGCTGTTGTCTTTGGTGTTCTTTATGTTGTTTTATTTGTTTGATTGTTTGTTTTTGATAAATATATTTCATTACACATCATACATTTACTGGTATTGCTTTACAACACTGAAGGATGGATTTCATGGGGATCACATTAAGAGACTTTTTTTCTTTTTATGTAGTATAGTATAGTATAGTATCGTTAAGTATTGTATAGTATAGCATAGCATAGCATCGTAGAACATTGCATAGAATATTATAGTATGGTATACTATACAGCATAGTAAAGTCATGTATAATATAATATATTATAGCATAGCATAGCAATAGTATACATTAGTATAGTATAATACAACATAGTACAGTATAGTACATTATACTATAGTATAGTATAATAGTAGTAATATAGCATAGTATAGTATAGCTGATACTATGATATACTATACTATACTGAGTACAGTTTAGTAATGCCTAGCATAGTAAACTATAGTATGGCATATTATAGTATAGATTAGTATAGAATAGTAAAGTATATCATACCATATCATAGTATAGTATAGTATAGTATAGTATAGTTTCTTAACTCTGTTGATGTCTGCAGGTTCCTACACTGTAACACCCATCAAGTTTGGCTTCCAGATTGACATTAAAAGCTCTACCCCTCGTAACTACACCATAAACATTAATGAAGAAGGCCGACCAGACACTGGAAAACACATCACCGTCCATCAGTCCAGTCAAAGCTCATCACATGAAATCAAACACCTGAAGCCCTGCACTGAATATGAGCATTATGTGACACATCTTGATGGTGCTGGTGAAAAACACTGTAGCCACACTGAAGATAAAACTAAAACGACTGACATAAGTGAGTAAAAATAATTTATGTTGGTGTCATGCAACTCGCTTTCTTTTCATTGAAGAAATGAGACTGCGTGTAAAATGGAGAGACATTTGTGCATCACTTGTGTATTTCAGGTAAAGATGACATTGAAGATGTCAGCTGCATCCCTGGACGTGTTTGTTACCGGAGTGATTGGGACATCAGCTCTTTACTATCAACCACAAATGCTGTGCGATGTGACAATAAAACATTCTGTGTCAAACCTGGTTACAATGACATTTGTTCAGATTTTACTACAAAGTTCACATCAGAAAAGTGTCCGACCACTTCTTTTAGCCTCACCAAAAGCTTCATCCCTGTTGGTATGTATAAAAGAGTCTGCCTTTATTTGAAATGCATGTGCTTTAGATTTAATTTCATCATTTTTTTTCCACAGATTTCTTAAACGCAAGTGAAATACATCAGATTGTTTCCACTAAACTTCCAGTGAAAATAGAAACAAAATTACCTCCAAACTGTAAAAATCTCTCTGTTAATTACACCTGCAGGGGTAAGTGAAAAGACTACAAGTAAAAAGACTTTGTGTGTTACTAATATTATAAATGGATTTACATGGAAATAGATAGAGATTTGACTCTGCAATTCCCTGTTTTAATTAAAACTTAAGATATATGAATTGTCTGTCAGTGAAGGGGGAAGGTGAAGTATTACTTTGTGCTCTCAGTGAATCAGTTCTAAAAAGAAGATTTTTTTATATTTTTCTGAATGAGTCAAAATTCGATTTAATCTGAAAAGATGCTGCTACATGAGCTCTGAGGTATAAATACTAGTTGTTGAAGAAATGCTGTCATCCTCGTGTCTCCTCAGAGAGTGGCGGAGTCACTGAGCCTAAGCTGGAGTCGCAGCTGGAGCCGTTTACTGACTACAGCTGTATTGGTCAGATCAAGGACAACGATGTCACCATTAAAAACACAACTGCTGTTGACGTCAGGATTGACTGTGGTATGTTGATGTTCACTTCACCTCAGTGCAATGAAAGCTTTTATCCTCAGATACTGTGGAGTGAATTACTGTGTAGCACCAGAACTCAAGTCTGTTACAGATGTCTGATGTTCCAACAGATTTTAACATAATCGCCACAAAGAACAACGTAACCAATACGTCTATTGGCTTGAGTTGGAGCACAACCAGTGACAAGTGTCAAGAAGTCCTTCATGAGCTTGATAAGCTTTCATACGACTGCAGCTGTGGTCCTACTCCCTCCCATCAGACACACAGGAGTAAGTAAAATTATTCAGATTAACTCTCTAATGTTTTTAATTCTTTTAACAGGAATTCATTTCTGGAAGTTGTTGGAGATCCTTTTTCTATTCAGTTTATCTAAATAGTAAAATATACTGTGGACATTTGAGTCATTGTTGGAGCTACAGCGCTCCATGCTAACCCTTCAGCATCCTGAGTGTTAGTAGGTGTAAATAAGAAAAATCAAAGTTTCACAAAATCAACATGAAATATGACACAGAAATAACACTGTGATTGTATTAAACCACTGGAAACAAAGGTTTTCAGTTTTCACATGTTTATTGTCCCAGTCTGCTTTCCTACTAGCACATAATGTGGACAATAGTTTTAGCTTGCAGGGCCAAAGCTGGTGATCTACCAATGATGCATTGATGATATTAACTGATTGATTAACATCCATTCTCTTGTCACTTAAAGTGCAAAAACAATCAGCTGTTGTGTACACCCTTAATTTTGTCTCTGTTGTGTTGCTATTCAACAAAACAAACTAACAGCTTGTGAAACTTTAACTCACAGGTAAAGCTAAACCATCAGGAGGAACATGTCTTGTTTCTGGACTGGAACCATTCACCACATACACCTGTGGAGTCAAACCCATCTACAACAACACAGAGACAGATGCTAAACAAACTCCAGTGACACAAGTGACTGAGGCTGGAAGTAAGTAACCAATGAAAAATGATCACAGCTGATTCTATGATCTAAATCTATGACACAAGAAGAATATTTGGACTATATTCACTGACAGTCTGTGCTGCACATACATGTTGAATATTGAGTTACTCATGTGGCAGTAAGAGTATCTGTATGAAACACTTTCTTAAGACCAAACAGCTTTGAAACTGTTTCAGTATTTGGGGAGAAAACTGATCCCATGTGACGTACTATGACTTTAAAACACCTCGTTCAGGAAATATGGTCCCTACATGAATATTTGAATTTGGAACTTCAACACAATATTTACTGTTATTAATTATTTAGTTATTATTTAACTTAATTATATTAATTATTATTTGAAATGAGTTTTTTGTATTTATCATTATAAAAATTACAATTATAAGATTTTTCTTTCTGTTTGTCCTTTTTAATAAATGTTGCTGATCAGAGAGCAAATAATTCGCACAGACAAATACCAACATTCATTATGTAAAGGAAAATGTATCCATTACACACTCCAAACCATGACAGTGAAGATTAAAAGGTACCTGCACCTGTTTATTCATCACTGTAAGTGGAAGAGCCTGTAGTGTGGAGCCAGAGTAATTACTGACTTTCTTGGTGTAAAATCTTTACCAAGTGGTACATTGATCATTTAAAAGACATCCATTGATTGATTAAATAACCATTCATGTTAAAGGATGTATTAAAAAAACAACAATAGATAAGCATCAGCAAATTTGCCAAATAATTGATTTCATATGCTGTCTTTACATAATGACATTAAAAATATATCAACATCTAAAACATCCTGATGCACAAGACAACCAGTACAGCAACACTCTGATATTAACAATAATATTGTTGATTACTGTTAAAACTGCTGTTAGAGCAAATTAAAATCACTTTAACGGTGACTATGCTTCTGAAGATAAGTGTGTTTTTCTTCATTTTTCTTACAGTACCAGACGATATTAAAGACCTGAGGACGTCACAGCCAGAGCATAATGTGATTATAGTAACCTGTATTCATTCAGGAAAATTAAACGGTCCTGAAGGCAAACAGAGATACAGAGCAGAACTTCATCATGGTGGTGTCATTGTGAAGGAACTTAAAGAGAAAGAATGCAAGTTTGAATTCAGGGACCTGAGTTACTCTACGACCTACACAGTGAAGGTTTGTATGATCCTATAGTTTCAAATGAATACCACCACTATTTCCTTCATATTTCAGTGTGTGCTATCCTGTCTTTGCAGGTGACTGCTTTCAATAGACACTTTGAGAGCAAGCCTCAGACAATACCTGTTGCCACTTTGGGTATGTGCTGTTCAAATCAATACCACAAATGGCTGTTAAGTCTTTTTTAACACATTTTGCTTTGAGAGACCATACACACAGAACTCTACTTCTACTCCTTGTAACATGAAAACATGAATTACACAACTGTGACATTCTTCTGTTATAACCATCATTTTAAAAGACAGTGGAAAAGCTCTCACTGTCACTAATATTCTGGACGTCCTCATCATCATCATCATCATCATCATCATCATCAACATCTTATCTGCAGCCTTGGTCTACAAGATCTGCGTTCTGAGACACAGAAAGTCCAGAAAGTAAAGATTATTTTACACCTAATTTCCTGTATTAGTTTGATTGTCATGCTTGTTGCAGTTGAACTCTTTCATTACACCCAATATACACTGTGTAGTGTACTATGGTATATGCCGTGTAAATTGAAATCTTTACAGCCATTCCTCACTATGTATTTTCTCTGCAGTGACGTGAAGGGAGATGTGATGTTTGAATCAACAGCAAGTGAGTGGACTTTAGGTTTCCTGTTTTTTCTTCATGTATGTAACAAACAGCATTCACATTCAGCAGCTACACATTTTTAATTACATTTTAGCTGTTGGATCTAATATCACCTGTTATAATGAAACACTTAAAATGATTGACTGGAATTCCGTATTAGAGTAATGTAGTATTTCAGTGTAACTGCAAATCTTTACAACTTGTAGTTTTGAAGTAACCTGGAAGTCTTTGTATTGTATGTGAAGTGCTCTATAGTTTAATAAGTACCCAAAAAATAATTTGCACTATTTCCTGTTTTGTTTTATGTTGTTTTTTTTGCTGTCATAGTTTATGTTAATGCACCTGAATCTGCTTGGCGTCCTACTGGAGAGCATCCTGATGGAGCTGTATACTAAGTCATCATTTACTCTTATTAACTTGTTAAGTACTGCATGTATGCCTTGGCATTGTTCATGTCTTACATGACAGGCCTAACAGTTGAAGTCAAGACTTTCTAAGATCTTTTTAATGCCACATGGACTGCAATTTAATACCAAGCCTACTAAGTATGGAAGTATGATGGAATACCAGTGGGACAATATGCCTCAGAGTTGCATATTACATTTATTTCAGTTTAAGTCTTAGTAGTATATATAATATACAATAATTAATGAAATGAATGCAATATGTTATGCTTTTTAACAGCCTTCTCTTCCAATATGCTTAAGAAAAAAGCGAACCAAGAATTCAAAAGGGAACCAAAAGGGGCTATGGCTGTCTAAACAATTTAATGTTAGACAAGCAAAAGATATGACAATGTATATTTTAAAATGAGGCTTGAAAATTCACCTGTGTTGCATGGCTTTAACATATACAAAATCTGTGTTTTATTGTTCAATCCTTGTACTTGTGCCACCTGCAGGCCATTAATGTTACTGATGCATTTTACAGGTGTGTTTTTGTGTGATTCTGAGGTGTTTCCATTTAATATTTGTATTACCGATCGAACAAAATTAATAAAAAAATGTAACGTTATACCTAAATGGCCTATTCTGTATACTGAATACTCAAAAATGAATTACCATTAAGCTTGTAAGTGTAAAACATTACACTTCATCTTTTAAAACTACAATTACTGCCTCATGGTTGTATACCTCTGTCATCAGTCAAATTCTAGGAAGTATGGTCATAATCTCCCCTTCTGTTCCCGAGTTACAGTGTTAAATAATGGCCAGAAGTGTTTTTGAAGAACATTATGATGTCACATTGAAGTTGACCTTTGACCACCAAATTATAATCAGTTCATCCTTGAGTTCAAGGGAATATTTGTGCCAGATGTAATGAAGTTCCCTCTGGGCGTTCCTGATATATCGTGTTCACAAGAGCATCATGTCACAGTGACCTTGACCTTTGACCAACAAAATCTAATCAGTTCATCCTTGAGTGAATGTTTGCACCAAATCTGAAGAAATCCCCTCAAGGCGTTACTGAGATGTGGTGTTCACAAGAATGGGATGGGCAGACGGACAACTCAAAAAACATAATGCCTCCAGTCACAGCAGTCATTAAAAAAAAAAAAAAAAAATTATATACTGTGTGTGTGTGTGTGTGTGTATATATATATATATATCACATTTTCAGCATGAAATGCTACCGATAAACAATAAATATGAAAATTATTTCAATGATAACCAGGTGTATAGTTCAAATAATACAAGATCATCCAAGTTTTCCTCCATATGCAGATGAGATATGGTACCTTATTTTACTCAAATCTGGAGGATGCCCAGTTTATTCTATATAGCCACTACTATCCAACAATCCATTGTGCTGTCAATGTGAGACAATGAGACAGAGTGCATTCAAGTCATCCTCATCAACTTCTTAAGTCAGGAAAAAACATCACGTTATATAGAACTAATTCATTCAAGGCAAAAACGACAATGTTCTGGTATCGGTCGGGATTATGTTCGCGTGTAACAGAAAAATTGAATATATATGGATATACTTACCACTAAGGTGATATAATTTACCAGTAGTCCATCAAAGTCAAATATCCCAACACTTGTAAACTCAGGTAACATCAAACATGTCCCTTTTTACCAGTGACGGTTTGGTCCTTCCTTTAAAAGGACCAAAATGGTCCTGAACTACAGCTGTAAAACTGTGGCTCTGTGACTGGACGGTGTTACCTGGGCTTGATTTCTGGCAGTTTGCATACTCGTAACTGTGTTTGTCCTTTTTTATTGATGTCCTGAAGGGTATGTCAAAACCTGTGGGGACTCAAAAATGTTTGAATGATGGGATGAGATGTGAAACCCATTAAAACCTGAGCTCCAAGCAGTCACTCCAATGTCCAAAAGGAATTTGAAAGCTTTATTGCATTTAGTTAGCATACAGGGCATTTGTGATGATGGTCTTTAATTTGACATGAAATGTTCAGAAAACAACCAAACTACCAGAACAATAAATATTAATTGTCATTATTTTTCTTTGTGAAAAACACCTGGACTCTTCAATACCTTCAGAGAGTGTGCGGAAAAGTAAGTGAGCTGAGGTAAAAAGCTGGTGCATAGTAGAGCAATGTTATGTTACATAAAGACAAAAACACTCCCTATCAAGACTTAGCCATAATTCTTAAAGTGACTTAGCACTGTGTGTCTTAAACATCGCCACCGAAAGGGCATTAACATAAATGTATCTTTCAAGCCAATACAAAAGCATCAGGTGTTTTAGTTATATGCTTTAAGGAAATTTGAAAGCTCAGAGGCTGTTTCTCCTAAACCACTGGAGAATTTTTTTTTGTTTTTTTGCTCTTAAATACGACCAATTTCTTCAGGGAATTCTGTATAGAAACTAAAATATAGAGAAAGTGCCTTAAAGCCATAGCTCCCCTGTAATTACAACAGAATACTGAAAGGTTTTGGTGCTTTATAGATGTGCTTGTTTAGAGAGCGTAGATATAAAGGGTAAACAGATGATGAAGATGATTAAAAATTAAGATAATTATTGAAATTTAAAAAAAAGTTTTACTGCAATGGGAACAAAAAGCGATATGGAGGAACAAAATTCTGGACAAGGTGTACAATTGCAAACAAAAATTGCAAACACTGTATTTGCACGTCTCAGATATATAACTAGTAGCAACACACTATCAAAATATTCTGTTAACCATAACAAAATAACTTACATTTTCTTGCACCTATAAGCTTTGATTTTGTATTCAACACATGTTAATAGTATTAAATGTTAATTAAAAAAAGAAAGACAACAACATGGAGATCATGGGCATACATGTACAATAATTCAGCTGAAAAGTTAACAGGCTATTTGATAATGTTTAAAGACAATTCATAAGACACTGAAATAAAGCGTTATCAATTGTTGTTTACGTATTATACCTTCCGTGTGGTATCATTGTCATTATGTAAAACAGTGGTAGTCAGTGCTGGTCAGCTGTGACCCACTGGTGTAAACCTATTCACTGTACTGCTCACTCCCTCCAAACTAATAATAGGTCACTAAAACCCTACAGTACTAAAACTAAAGGAACTTCTTCACTATGTACAGTAAAATAAAATGAATCCCATTGGTGCTTGTTTCTTTGGGGTTTTTTTTCAGTACAAGTCTTTGATATACTTTTCTCAACTGAGAACAAAAGTTATGTATGCATGCTGCGATTTACTCATGACATGGACGGTACACAAGGTATTGATCTGCTATCTCTTTAACATGTGTTACTGAACAAGACATATACACTGCAAACTTACACAGCAACAATCACAAAATTTTGTCTACACAGACTACCGTTCAGGTGGGTTAAAAGGATCCACTGGACCATGATGGAGAACTATGTGTTTTAACCTTTTTTTTTTTTTTTTTTTAACGTCTTCATTGTGATTTTACAGCCCTAAAAAACCGCACACTATTTGATAACAGTACATCTTGCTTGAACTGAACCAAGGGGGATATTTTGGTGTCAGTGACTAAGGTAAACATCAGATGTAAAACTGCTTTTGTTACTGCTTCTACCACTCCTTCTAGGCNCATGATGGAGAACTTTTTGTTTTAACCTTTTTTTTTTTTTTTTTTAACGTCTTCATTGTGATTTTACAGCCCTAAAAAACCGCACACTATTTGATAACAGTACATCTTGCTTGAACTGAACCAAGGGGGATATTTTGGTGTCAGTGACTAAGGTAAACATCAGATGTAAAACTGCTTTTGTTACTGCTTCTACCACTCCTTCTAGGCTGTCAAAAAAAAGAGACATTCTGAATTTTTCAAAGACAATACATACGTGTCAAAATGACTTACATTCAAAGTGTTGTGGAGACATTTGCCCATGTTCTCCCCCCCAGCACATCTCTAGTCTAACCTCTAGATGATCCTTCCTTTCCTAATACATTCATAAGACATGATCACCCTGCCAGCCTTCTGTTACCAGGATAAAAAGTGCGACACAACAACACTTCAACCATCAATAACACTCTGTTAAGTCTCTGCCATTGAGTGAAAATCTCTTCACTCCAATGTTACCATTGTTTTCAAAGTTTTCATGGTCTTTTTGTGCCTTTAGCTGGCCATAGGTGACATGAGACACATCAAAAGCCTACTAGGTAATTTTTAACAATATTTGAGAGTGGCTTTACTGTTTTATGGCTAGACGATAACACCTACAATTATAATCTTTTTTGCTAATTTTACAGTTTTCCAGTATATCTGCTTTAAACAGCACCTACTACTAGCAGCTGCTGAAAAATGGCTTCAGTTCTCCACACAAAAATACAGAGGACATGCATTTTAAAGCCACAGCAACAAACATATCAGTGAGTTACAACACACTGATTTTCAATGCTGTAACATACTGCATAAGTGTAAGGAATGGGAGGTCCATCTGACAAAATTTTTTTTAATCTTTATGATCTTTACCCGAGGGCATAAAAGGTTTGGGTGTCAGTCATGTAACAGACTGTACCGTCCCCTAAGAAATAAAAATCTGTTACACATACTATTTATCGCAAGGAGCTAAACTTTGAAGTAAGTTATTGTATAAAAGCTGATAGATGTGTACAAGTCCAGCATGAAAAGCGAGGGGGAGGTTGGGAGGAGTTCCGCAAGCTGTAGTGTGTGTAACTCTAGGTTTAGCTGCCCTGTGTGAGGTTCTGCATGTGTTTGGCAATGTCGTACACATAGGTGATGTCCGGCCTCTTCTCCGGGTCGGGGTTGATGCACATATCTACCAAGTTCCTCAGCTGGTGAGAGTGGTAGGAAGGGTGTTGGTTGGAAGGTAAAGAGAGAAATAAAATAGTCAATGACACTATAGTGAGACTGATGATAAAAGAGCAGCTCCAGAAATGAACAAATCTCTGCTAACACAGACTTGCTCGTCTTTTATTTGCCCTCTAGATCAGCTTGTTCCATAATAGCAACAATAAAGCAACAGGTAACTAAGCTGAGACAAAGACATGAGGCTGGGTTAGTGCACTAATCACTTATTGGTCTGCTGAATTCACTTTTACCCGAGCCCACACATGCACACCCACCCGCAAGCACACACACACACTGCTGCCACTCCATTGCCATCCGGAGACAGCACTTACACTTGAAGCCAAGCGAAGCGGCTGATTGGAGCAGATAGATAGACAGGCTCGCAGGCGGAACAGCCACCACCATCATTAAAAAAAAAGAAGAGAATAAAAGATGGAGAGGAAAGAAAAAAACATAACATCTACGCAAGGTCGCTATGGTAACCGTCTACCGACGGCCGCTGTTGCATGGCACCGGTTTGGACGGGTTCTCGTCAGCTGCTGTGTGTGTGTGTGTGTGTGTGTGTGTGTGTTGTGTGTGTGTGTGTGGTGTGTTGTGAGTGTGTGAGAGAGAGAGAGAGAGAGAGAGAGAGAGAGAGAGAGAGAAGAGAGAGAAGACAGTGAGAGAAAGATGCAAATTCAGACAGTCTGAGAATTAGTCCCACAGAATAGAGATGGAGGGGGGAGAAGAGATGCAGATATGTAAAATATTCATGCGCTTCTTTGCATGGCGAGTGGGGTGGGGGAGTGTCAGGTGGAGGGATGGGGGGAGTGGGAGCTAGTGAAAGGAGGTGTGGGGGGGAGCATAGATGGAGATGGTTAAATGACACAACAAAGATGAGCAGCTGACAGTTTGCTGCCGATCCTTCAGGAGCATTGTTTACATCCAGACAGGCGCTGCAGGCACCCCCCTCATCTCCATCTCTCCATCGCCCTGTCTCTCGCTCTATCATTCCCTCTCTCTTTCCTTTTGTCTCCCTTCTCCTGGATGGGGGTGACATGTGGGGCAACGCAGAAGCGCAGCGTGGTGTGTTTGTGTGTGTGTGTGTGTGTGTGTGTGTGTGTGTGCGTGTGTATGTGTGTGGAGAGGGAGCTCTTGTAACAAATATGCACTTGCACAATTGCTCTTGCATTTACAAAAATACCACATAGACACCACAGAGGCTTGAAACACCTCGCAATTAGCCTTTATAAGCCTAATGAAGTAAATACCAAAGTATAATATAAAAGCCTGGATCTGCAGGGTTTAGTAATTGGACTACAGAGACATGAAAAAAGGATAGCCACTTAAAATTAGCCACTGTGGACTTACGTATGCAGATACACTGATAGTAGAATGGAAGGCATAGACATAAAGGACACAATAGGTTGGCACTTTCATGCTTTGAGGACCTACCAGTATTTCTCCAGGTATCCTAGATTTCCACGCAGCCATTTACTTCCATTTATTTCCATGTGAGAATAAATGGGAACCATTTATCAAAGATGCAACTTAAATGTAATGAAAAAATAATGCTTACTTGATGTATACTGTCATGGATTACACAATTCAACAGAATTTCATTAGTCCACTGTGCAGACTGAATTCATTTTAAAAAGCTGTGATCTGAAGTTTATGTAATTTAGAGCTAAAATAAATTGGTAGATTACTCAATTAATTTACGAAATTTACAAGAAATGTATTCTGCAAAGATATGATAATTGATAATCATGGATTGATTGTTACAGTGAAAAAATTTCATTGGTTCCCAGGCTCTCAAATGTGAGGTTGTGCTGGTTTTTCTCTATTTTATATCACTGTAACCTGAATATGGGCTTTGGATTCTTTTAGAGAAAAAAAAATATCTGAAGATGGAACAGTAGGCTGAGCCCCCTCTATAATCTGAAATTTGATAGACATAACAACTAATCAGTTATTTAAAAAAGTAGCAATAATAATAATCTATAATGAAAATATTTGTTTAGTTACATCCTGGATCTCATTTTTACTTAAAAGGTAAAACCACTGGCATGGTTCTTTAAACAGATGAGATATGAGGGCATGAGTCCTGCTTTATAAATGGAAACTTTGCGGTAAATATAACTATCAAGCAAATGCAACAACTCAAAGCTTTACAGTGCCCATCACAGTGACAGTGTTTAATGAATCCAATACCTGCAGTTTATGTGCGGTGTGGTGCCTATAAGTCAGTGTCTGAGTTTTCGCGTGTGTGTACACTTGACTTAATTATAAAAAAAAACAAAAAAGGCAGAAATGTCTAAGAAAAAAAATGCCACCCACACAAAGAGGGCATGCAACACAAAGCGATGCACATTCAATACACGTCATCAGCAATCAGCAATAATGCAATTTTTAACGCAGCCCGGACTATATTACATTTTGGTGCAGGATATAGTCTACGCAGAATTACAGCAGATGATTTAACATTTAGTCAGGGAACATGACTCTCCAGCCCATTCTAGTCTCACCCCACTCTTGTAGCATGGCCAGATGCTTTTGATATGTGCATTTAATTTTCGAAAACGGTTTAAAATCATAGCCAGTCTTTTGATCACAGAGTAATATCATAGCTCAGGACAGTTGGGTGGATTACACTTACATATTAAAATAACTTTAATAGTCAGAACAAGTAACAATCAGCGAACTGGCACAGAGAAAGAGGGACTGGCCACTGCTGCTTAAAATAGTAGAGCACTTAAAAAAAGTTATAATATTTCTACCGTTTCTTTTAAAGGAGTTGAGGAGTAGCAACAATCATGAGCCTTTTAAAACACTGAGCCAAGGTCAAAGTGCTACTTTGCTGACCATAGCAGTAAAAGTGCAGCTGAAGACAGTTACTCACCGTCCTCCGAGTAGTGATCTCGAGGGAAGAGGGGTAGTCACACTGTCTATCTTCTTACAAAGGGAGAAAGGTTCCATCTTATCCCCATTACGAACCGGGCTCTGTAGGACGCTAGCCATCTGAAATTATAAAGATATGAGGGAAAAAGGAATATGGAGAGAGAAAAGGGGAAAGGACAAGAGGGACAGGGTTTGAGAG